GCACATGGTGTCATTGAGACTCTCCAGGGATACCGGTCAAGCAGCTCTGGGTTTGATCATCTTAGCTTAGATCAGGCTAAAACCCCAAATCTGCAGTCTTGACCGTACCACAGAGATCAAACCTGTTTCCATACTCTGGAAGACCTGTTCAGGGCAGGGAGGGAGGGCACATTCTCTAGCTAGAAGGGAGAAACAGATTGGAGTATCCACGTATCACCGTATTGGTGCCCATTCCAGGCCTGATGGCATCTTACCAGTTGCTTCCTAACACCAGCCTGTGCTGGTGTATTTAATTCTCTTGCTCTTGTTTGGTTTTGTTGTTTTTGCAGCATGTTCAGGACAGAATCCAGGTATTTTCTCTGGTAAAGAGAATGTGGATTACTTTCATTTTCCCCTTTTAAATTTTTTTTGCATGAATTATTTGAAAACAAACTGCAATTTGAAATCTCGAGCGATGTTATTTCTGTTAATTAGCACAGCAGAATTAACTGAAAGGAAATGAGCACTACAGCTTGAGTTTCAAAATCTGAAAAAGGTCAGAAATCTGTCTGAAATCTTGAAAGATTTACAACATGAACATTACAAACCCAACAGAACACAATTCTTACAAAAGTTAATGAAGACACAGGAAGCGATCAAGTTGCTTTTTGGAAGGTAAGGAAACTTTGTTAATGACTCCTTTCCACTAGCTTAATTTTCAGGTGGGATGCTGAAAGAATGTATATCAAAACACTGTGCTTTAGTGTATGTGGAACTGTGAAAATGTGGCTCAGTGACATACAAGCCCAGGAGTGTTTCTGACCTCCTAAGTGTATTCGGAAGTAGAGAATTAATTTTTATCTTTGCCGTTATTTGCTTAGACTTACCAAACTGTGGTGCTAGAAGAACTTTTAAAATAACCATCAACATACCAAAGACCTCAATTTAACCCTTTGACAGTTCTGAACTTTTGCTGGCTTTTTGCATAGTTAGGCACAGAATTGCTAAAGAAGAACCAGGTTGCTCAGGTCCCTGTCTGGCTGAGTTTTTAATATCTCCAAGGAGGTACTTTCTAACTTTTCTGGACCACCTGTTCCAAGGTCTGTCTACTGTCATGGTGAATAGTTTTTCCTAATATTTAACTGGAACTTCTTTTGCTGCAGATTTGCATCTGTTCTCTTTCATCCCATCACTGTGCTTCTCTGAGAACAGTATGGCTCCATCTTTCCTGTACTCTTTCACTCGGAAGCCAAAACCAGAAATAAGGTCTTTTCCTTGCCTTCTCTTCTTAAGAAACATTCAGAAAAGAATGAGGTGTTTCTTGGTTGTGTGAGGCATGATAAAAATAATCATTTTCTGGTTCTGCTGGTGCCTTTCCTTGTATAGCAGGAAAGGCACTTTCCAATAGCATCAGAATGGCAATAAATCTCAGATTGGTTGTTTCACAGTGATAGTGTTGGCTTGGGAGTAGGTAGATAATATAATAATATTTCTGCACCAACTTTGGCTTGTGCAAATTTTTTCAAGATCAGTCTTTTATTTATTATCAGAGAATCCCAGAATGGTTTGGGTTGGAAGGGACCTTAAAGATTACCTAGTTCCAACACCTCTGCCCCAGGCAGGGGACCCCTTCCCCCAGCCCAGGGTGCTCCCAGCCCCGTCCAACCTGGCCTGGAACCCTGCCAGGGAGGGGGCAGCCACAGCTTCTCTGGGCACCCTGGGACAGTGCCTCAGCACCCTCACAATGAAGAATTTCTTCCTTATATCCAATCTAAATTTACTCTCTTTCAGTTTAAAACGCTTGTTCTACAATGAGAGGCCTTTCCTCTTGGATAACAACTTTGCGCTTATGCATTTTTTCGCAAACATCAGCTAAAAAGTCATTCAGATTTCTTTATAGATTGTAATTTCTATTTTCCAGTTAAGTTCTTGCCTCCATGATACATAATTGAGGAAACTGAGTTTTATCTGGACATAAACTCACAGATCAGGGCAATTCTCATAACAGTCAAAGCTTTGAGTGGTGTGTGTCCTGATTCAGACTGGCCTGTTTTAACCAAGTGTGTTGTGTTTGCCTGGCAAGGTTTTGGTAGTGGGGGGAGCTACAGAAGTGGCTTCTGTGAGAAGCTGCCAGAACCTTCCCCTATGTTGGACAGAGCCAATGTCAGCCGGATCCAAGACGGACCTGCTCCTGGCCAAGGCCGAGCCCATCAGCGACAGTGGCAGTGACTCTGGGATAATGTGTTTAAGAAAAGAAAAAAAGAAATACTATGGGAGGGCAACTGCAGCTGGAGAGAGGAGAAAGAATATGAGAGAGAAACAACTCTGCAGCCACCAAGGTCAGTGAAGAAGGAGGAGAAGAAGGTGCTCCAGGCACTGGAGCAGAGATTCCCCTGCAGCCCGTTGGGAAGACCACGGTGAGGCAGGCTGTGCCCTGCAGCCCATGGAGGTCTACAGTGGAGCAGATCCCCACCTGCAGCCCATGGGGGACCCCACACCACAGCAGGGAGATGCCCGAAGGAGGCTGTGACCCCGTGGGAAGCCCACGCTGGAGCAGGCTCCTGGCAGGAGCTGTGGACTCATGGAGAGAGGAGCCCACTCTGGAGCAGGTTTGGTGGCAGGACGTGGGAGCCCGTGGGGGACCCACGCTGGAGCAGTCTGCTCCTGAAGGGCTGCACCCCGGGGGAGGGACCCACACTGGAGCAATTCGTGAAGAGCTACAGCCCGTGGGAAGGACTCACAATGGAGAATTTTGTGGAGGACTGTCTCCCATGGGAGGGAGCCCATGCTGGAGCAAGGGAAGAGTGTGAGGAGTCCCCTGAAGAGGAAGAAGCAGCAGAGCCACCGTGTGTTGAACTGACCGCAACCCCCATCCCCTGTGCTGCTGTGGGGAAAGGAGGGAGAGGAATTGGGAGCAAAGCTGGGAAGAACTGAGGGATGTTGTGTAATAGAAATTATGCAATTGTTTGGAGCTCATGTATTGGAAGCAGCTGCCTGACCCGCAATTGCTATTTAGAAAAGGTAACTCGGTGTTTTCCAGTGACTGAGTTACGAATGAGGCCAAAAGTTAGTGACCTTTATCAATCTATAAAAGTTAATGACCTATAAAAAGGGGCAGGAATGGTGGCAGATAAGGTAGAAATTAATTTTCTTTTAGTTGACCTTTTTTGTTCTTCTTAGTGCTATACTAAAGGAAAAATTCCTGAGAGACTAGTCTTTCTGAAACACGGAAGGATTAGAAGGTGAGGAAGGAGCGAACCAGAAAGATTGGACTCAGTAAAATCCATGAAACTTTGTTATATACTGTTTGTGGGGTTCCTTGTTTTATATTGCAAACCTGCCAGGACTTCATAAACAACAGTTAGTGCTTAGGGTCATGTTGGACTAGTATGTAACAATCTAAAACACAAATAAATGCCATGTGTCTCTAGAAAAATTATTGGAGTATTTATATTCCTGGTTTTCTCTATAGAATGTGCTTAGTTCCTTAAAAAAAGGGTTAATATAGCTTTTAATATTGGACATTTGTCACTAAGACTTCTGTGGACTTTCAGAAAAACACCTTTCTGCGAGGTGTTTTGAAGTTCTGACAGTTGTATGAAGTGGCACATCAATGATGATGAAATTAATTTAGTGTATATAGTAATAGCAATATCTGTTAGTCCTCAGATGAATGTTATCATTCAGTAAACAAAACAATGCCATGGGTGTTTTTGAAGGGAGAAAAAACAACTCAAAGTCAACTGCTACGTTAGTTGATCCTGTGTTTCACAATAGTTCCTAGCAACAAGGGTGCTGGAAGAAGAAAATTAGAATGTCCTTAAAAAAGAAGACTGTATAAGAAACTCCACAGAAAACAACCTTGAAAATAATCTTGGAGCTCAGTACAGTCAATGTTGTCCCACTGGTGTAGCCCAGTAAATATAATTTTTGTCAATGCTAATAAAAGAACACAGGCTCTGCGTTGACTTGACAGTGCAGAATTCCTAGGCCTGGCTGGGCTTGTCTTGAGCTGATTTTAGCTTGTTTAGCTGTGATAGCAGTTGTTTGGCAATCACCTCATCAGCTGCCTAAATGTGTTTTAGTTAACTCTAGTTCATAGGGGTAACAAGCAGTTACTGAAGTATCTATGACTGTAGACTAAAATGTGGTGTGGAAAAGGAGAATGTGGGACAACATGAGGATGAACAGAGGTCAAAGATTGTAAAAACAAGCTACAGTGGTCAAGCAACAGAAGTGCAACTCGGTCTTGACCGGGTAAACCCAATTTTAGTGAACAGAGACACTGAATAACTGGCATCTAAAAAAGTGGACGGTATTAAGAAAATACATCCATGTAAACACAAGGAGACCTCAGTACTTAGGAGGAAGGGACTCCTGCTACTTGCACTGAACTCTTTGCAATAAAAATCATCACACACTAATGATTCACCATGGCATTCCCCTCCTGCCTTGCTAGCCTCCTTGTAAAAGACTGGTGCTGTCAACCAGAGGAGCCAAGGAAGGATGAACGTAACACCAGAGGAAGTGGTTAGATGCTAGGACAGTTTTTTTTCTGTAAAACGCTTTAAAAAAACCCAAACAAACAACAAAATTGCATTACTGAGGCTTTCTTTCATTAATTTGGACTATGAACGTTAGCATTATTGGAAGCGGACTAACATTAACCTAGTATTATTCTTAAACTGCTAAGATTTTAGTCAGACTGATATTAAATTATGGGCTCCAGATATAGGGTGGTTTTGCCCATTACAAAATTTTAAGTTTGAAAAACTAAGTGCACTATATTGTACATTATAAACAAACTGTGTGGTTTTGGTTATGGATTTCATAATGTTTCTTTGTCAAATTCAGTCTGAAAAGTTTTGTGAAAAAACTGTTGAAGCCTTTTTGCAACAATTGCATAACTTGTACAGATTGACTCCTGTGTTGCAAGAAAAGTGGGGGAGGAGATTGCAAGGACAGCCTCAGGAATCATGGGAATGAATATAAGTACATGAAATTTGGAGTACAGAAAATAGTAACTCTGTTGCAGAGGACATCTTTAAATTCTAAAGCTTGGAAATGACACTGCTGAGCCACACCATGGTGCTTCTGCTGTGGATGAGCTGTACTGCATGTAAAGGTAAGTTATTAAATGGAAAATTATGCTTTTAAATGACGTAGCTGTTGACAATCAAGAAAAATTAACTGAAAAAAAATATAAACAATACCATTTACTATTTATAGAATTCCTGTCAGAAGTTTGGCATGAGAGTTATAATCTAGGACAATGCATTTGAGAATTTTTGCTTTATATTTTCTTGTATGAGCTTGCTTCTTTGCCTTGGGCCTAAACTTAATGACTCGCTTAAAATACATTAATCCATACAAATTCATTTGTATTTCACTTTAGTTACTACTAAAAATGCAGAATAATGGGTTGATTTTTAAAACATTGTACAACCCTTAAAAAATATAGGTACTTTGTTATTTCAAGAAGTTGTATGGTAAGAAAAACTTGCTGCCTGAAGGAGGTCTTTAATGAATATATATCTTTGTTAAAATAACCAGTTTTACACTCTGTGATTGGTCCATTTAAATCTGTTCATCATATCAAGATCATTCTCCTCCCTCTGCCTTTAAAAGTGCTTTCTTGTATATACCTTATACTTTCAAAGAATGATCCAACTTCTTTCTTTTTTGAAATGATGGAACTAATTTTAGGAATCTGGGCCAAATAGGTTTATTTGTAGAAAAGAAAATTGAGAAACATAACAGCATATGTAAAACTTTACTCCAGTTCTGGAAACTCTATTCCAGTTCTCGAAAACAGAAACTACTCTGAGAAATTCAGAAGTTTATTAAGATTTTCAATTAAAATGGTTTTAGTCTAGTTTTTTCAATACAAAGACTGTGAAAATAGTAAAGATGACAACAATTTCTTAGAGCAAGGAGATAATGCTGTTTATAAGTACAGTATATTCCCAGATGGAGGGATGTAGGTCATCCGAATATTATTTAATTCCCATGTAGTGCCATTATTTGCAGCTGTCTGCACTGTCCTGAATCTATCAATTAACAAGAACTTGTGTCCGTTTCTGCTGGAACAGCATGCAAACACCCACCTATCACTGATTTTGAAGAAATTGCTAGTAGCAGGATAAGAAGAAAATGGCAGTGTGCAGTCAAATAACAAGAATCCATGCACAGCTTCTGCAGGAGCAGTCTGTGAAGACCCACCTCTCGTTGACTTTGGAGAAATTGTTAGTGGGCATAAATTGGGATATAAGGAAAATGACAGAGTGCAGTATACGTGCAACCCTGGATACACTTTATCGGGATCAGAATGGGTAACGTGCCATGAAAAGATCTGGACACCTAGACCACCACAATGTTTGGGTAAGTGTAACTTCTATTTCTGGTTGACGTCGTACTGGTAGACAATTCTAATAATTCTTAAAGTAGGAGTTTCAGAATTGCGTTTACATTTGTTGCTTGACTACCAAGTCTGTAATGGACCAAAATGAATCCCTGGATTCAATACTTAGTAACTTGTGGATCTTAGTGTCCCAAAATCGTTTACACTCAACTGTGGTTTTTATTCTGAGAATTTTGAAGCTGTCTGGAAGGTTACAAGCTGTTAAACATTTTACCTGTACTTTCAAGAACTTGTGCAATAAGGTACAGATACTGACAGTGGTGTCAGCCTCTTTCCCCCAGCGATTGCATTTGCTAAGACATCCTTTCATGTAGTTTCCTAACTGTCCCTTATATGTGGGAGGAGCGTTGCCGTGGTAAACTGCTTTGCTATCTTCAATTTCCTCCTTAGAGCTCTTTGTTGGGAGTCTTTTAAAAATAATTTTTAATGCTATCCTAGGTAATGGAAACACAATAGGGGTAAAATTAGACTTACTCCCACTGATGTCATTAATTCATTAGATCAAGGACTACGGTCCCCTGAAATCAGTACCTCTTGAGATCATCACTGCTGTTTGCAAAGTCTGTAAAGTTGTCTTTTACACGTATGAATAAAAATACGTTTGGAAGTTGTGCCATATCATTGGTGAACTACCTAAAACTAAACATCCCGAATTAATTGTGTTAGAGACCAAGTGTTTAAGTCTGCATTCTTACTTTTAAAAATCACTGCTGAGAACCAAGCTGGTTTTTCACTATCTTTTCCGAGGAGATGCTTCACATGGTAAAAGCCAACAAAGGTTCATACTCTACCATTTTTAATTTTTCTTGTTTCCCCTAGCACCATGTACCATTACAAAACAGCAACTGGAGGCCCAAAACCTACTTCTCTCCAGTGGACAAAGACGCACATTTTTGATTCAAAGTGGTCAGTGGCAAAAATTTATGTGCGTAACAGGATTTAAACTCACAGCTTCTTCTATCGAGCAGTGTTTTAATGGGCACATCAAGCTTCCTTCCTGTATTGCAGGTAAATATACACTATACTCGAATAATTTTGATCTATCAAATACATCTTCTGTGTAATTTTGCAGTTGTTCATGTAAATGAACTGCACCTGCCTGTACTATCAGACAATGCTTATTCAACAGGCAATTGGCTTTCCCACAACAAATACACTTGCTGATGGTAAGGGAGCGTGTAAATCTAGGGCAGAGGGCAATTAACCAGAATTAAAGGTGCATGATGTGGGACAATCTCTCCCTTCCTTTTATACTTAAACCAAAAGAAAAATTTGCATTTCAGATTCACATGACATCTGATCAATTGTAGATATCTATATTTAAGGAGAAAAGTAAGTCCTGCAGTTACCTGTTTCTCTCTGCTTCCTGTGAAAGTACTCTTTCATGTTTGGCTAGGATGTAGATGTCTGAGTTGATAAATTGAATACGGTGCCACCCTGATTCAGAAAATTGTTTCAGACATAATTCTTCATAACAGATGTTTTAACAGACTTTTAACCTTGGCTTATATTACTAGAACTCAACAAGAGATATAGATGCCTGGTGAGAGAGTATGTAAGGAAAATATATATAGGAAGTACGTTATAATAGTTTGTAAATTCTGTTCTCTCTGTTTCATCATGTCATCACAAAACCCCTCAGGACATTGGTAGAACTTGATTAAGAGTGGAAAAATTTAATAGCTAATATTCTAGAAACTCACTTTCAGTATCACAAAACAAGATAATGTCTCTTTTATTTCTCTGCCTATTAAATTTTCCATGTTCTTGATGACAAGCAGTAACTGGTATGTAATTTCTTAGGTATGAACTGGAAAATGGCTTTAATGTGGTCCAAAGGAAAAGAGAGAAACTTCATGTAGGAGAGAAAGGAAAAGAAAGAAGTTTTGCTTTGTGTATCCTATATATTTCTTCATCTTCCTTTCAAGCAATTTACTTTATGTTTGGATTAATTTTTTGTTTCTTTTCCGTTTTAGACAGCATATGCCATTGCAATATTAATTGCTTGCATTATTGTTTACCTGTGTTTTCTGTATTTTTTTAGAAAGTCTGTGTTTGCCACCACAACCCGTAGAATGTGCTGAAGTTCTTAGGCTGGAAAATCAAAGCTTACAAATTAAAAAGGAAGGGAAAACATATTATCTGGCTGGTACTAGATTTAAGTATGTTTCTCGTTCTGGATACATGCTAGATGGACCATCAGAGATAACTTGTTCTATGGGAAACTGGACTTCGGCTCCTGCGTGCTTGGGTAATATCAGAAAATACCTTTTTTTGAAGTGCCTTAAGCAATGAAATCGAAAGAAATTTAAACTGGAGGTTGGCTAGTAAGAGCCAGCAACTCCCTGTTTTGCTGTGGAATCTTACCACCCCTCATGGATGTGTTCAGAGCAATCCTGACTGGATGCGAGACTGCCTTTCTGAATGCAGTTTAGTTTTGAAAGATTCCCCTGTGTTCTTGCATTTTTGTCCAGTTCCTCTCTCTGCCGGGTGAGTCCTGGGCACATGCTCATAACCCAAGGGTCTGTCTTCTACAGAGCCCACCAGCGACTAGGAGTTGCTTTGGTGCTTTAGTGATGGAAAGCACTTTGGTGTAGTAAGGGACAGAAGCCTTTATTAATATTTTCAGGCATGGTTAGGAACAGGATCTAAATATCTTCCAGTGACGGCAGTCCACGCCTATGTAGGGGAATGGCTTCTTCCATCTTCTGTATGCCGCCTTGCATATAAACCTGCACTGCCAGCGGATGACTATGCCAATGTTAGAAGCTAGAAGCAGCTCTCTAAAGCATCTGTTTGGTGGAAACAGTGCGCTCAGTCTACGTGCATCACGCTAGCACAAGCGTCAGCTTTCTGTATCTTTTCAGAAATGCCGTGTGGAAGTATTCCAAAAGTTGCCAATGCTCAAACTGAAGGCAGAAACAAGGAAATTTATGAGCCTGGTGAAACAATTCGCTACCAGTGTGATGCAGGCTTCCTGATTGTTGGTCCCCCCGAAATTATTTGCAGAGAAGGAAACTGGACAGCACCGCCCATCTGTGAAGGTATAGGGTCTACTTCTAAGAAGTCTATGGTCCTTCTTAGCCTTTCCGGTTGTGAATTAAAATAATGTCAACTCAGGCATGCAGGTGAGTCAGGCCAATAGAGCCAACGGGTGACTTGCTTTGAATGGGCTGCTACAAGCCCTGATTTTCTGGCTCCTGAGAAACAAGCAGCAGGGTAGATCAGCAAAGAAACCGTTTCCCCCGTGGGCCGAAACTAGGAGCTAAAACTTAGCTCTCTGCTGGCATCAAGCAGGCAGAGGGTTATGGAGGAATGGGTGCTGGCTGCAGAGGAGGAGATAACTGGCAGGACAATGTAGCTGCTTTTCACATCACAAGGAATGTTGTTGCCGAAAGTTACCTTCAAATAGCAGAGGAATCACTTCATTCTCCAGCCCGTTGGCACACAATGCTGTTCACCACCGATCCGCACGTTTGGCCGATCTCTGCCACTCCTGTTCTCTTTTTAGTCGCTTCACGAAAAAATAATATTGTGTGGTGAAGCGTCGCAGGGTGAAGACCGTATCATCTTCCTCTCCTACCTGTAGAAAAGGATCTGCGTTTCGCAAAGCATTTTTGGTGCTCCGGAATGCAATGTTCTGTGACTGTCGTATCGCTGCGCTACCGTTCTTAAACGCCCCTCTCTCTCCAGACGTCAGCTGTGGAGCCGCACCTGAAATTCCCAATGCCCGTATGACAAGCACTCAAGAGGAGAGGTACCTGCCCGGTGCCAGACTGCAGTATGAATGTGAAAGCAATTTTCAAATGACGGGTGGAAATTACGTCACTTGTACAAATGGAGAATGGACACAAGCGCCAACCTGCAGAGGTAGGAACGTGTGCTTTCATCTTGCCTCTTTGCACAGAGGGGACTGTTTGATTGCCGACACGCTCTAACAACTTTACCTTTTTCACTTCTGGTTCCTTCGTGTAACCCGACTTTGTGCTCACTATCGCTTCCTTGCACAGCACTTTTAATTTAGCTTGATGCTTCGAGAAATACCAGGGGTATGCTCATCGACAGCAAAAGCGTCTTGAAGAAGCAGGGCCTGAGAAGTGCTGCTCTGTCATTCTGCGGTATAATACCGGTGTTTCCCCAGAGTCTGCCACCTCAGTGACACGTAAGGGCTCCTCTGCTTTGTTCAAACCTGTCCGGGGGTGTCTTGACTGGCAGGAGCCGTAGGGGACACAAACAGCTGTTCTTCTCCAGGGCTCCGCTCTGACCGCTGCAGATCCCAGCAGAGACTCAGCTCCAGAGCGTGTAGGATGCGCTGGGGCCGTGAAGTGGGAAGAGCGTTCGTGTGACGAGGAACTGGCAGGAGCCGTGCTCCTGCCTCCTGCCCAAATCCGTGGCTGCAGGGTGAACAAGCGCTCCTTGGCTGTCACACACCTCCAGGGAGCTGACTGCACTTCCCCATCCCTGAGCAGTGCAGGCTGACAAGCTCCTCCAGCGCTGCCGGGCCTCCGGAGCGCTGCAGCCACCCCTGTGGCTCCCGGGAATGCCAGGGCTCCCTGGGCAGGGACGCGGGCTCGCAGGAAGGCCGGGGTGGCTTCTTGTGCCGTGAGGTGTGGCTATGGAAACGCCGGCTTTTTCTAGAAGCTCTCCTGGGCCCTGCCATCTCCCGAGAGCCCCAGAAAGAGTGTTCTGCCGCCTCTGTCGCACCTCATTGCTTTCTCCATGGTGAACTCTTGGAGCTGTGACCCACCTGAGGCAGAAACGCTGGACAGAAATCATAGCAAGGTTGATGCCTTTAGCTGTCGGTTGTAGAGGGGCACACCGCAACGGCTGCAGTCATGACTGCAGCAGCGTCTCTTTTTCAGATGTGACGTGTGAACCTCCTCCAGAAATTGCTGGCGGCAAAGTAGAAGGTGTTAAAAAGTCAAGGTACTTGCCTGGGGAGAGTGCTCGCTACCAGTGCTGGAAAGGTTTTGAGATGACCGGGGCTTCCAACATAGCGTGTCAGAATGGGACCTGGACAGAGCTGCCAAAGTGCAAAGGTAATTTCTCTCTCTGTTCATACAGTCGCCTGTCAGTGAGACTACCACGAAGCTGACTTAGTGGCATTTACGTCTCCAACTTTCAGTCTCACTGTGCAGAAATACCACGTAGCTGGTGCACTCGGGAAAAAGCCATTTTCCCAGGTATTTATTCCGATGAGCTTACCAGCTGAGTCACCCAGGCAGCATCACTCGAAAGGGCCACACCTGGACAACCACCCCGAGGCCGAGAGCAGTTGCTGGCCAGGTCTAATTTTGAGACGCAGCCCCTTGGACTTCTTAGCATCTGCTTTCTGGGCCTGCCTGATGAGGAGGTAGTGAGAAATTCTATCGTCACTGTTGGAGAACAGAGCCCACAGCTCCCCTACTAGTTGATATCCCGATAGTGCAGATGACACATTGCTTTATTGAATGCCACGGAGTCAAATCAGCTGTTAAATCAACCGAGAGTAGAACTGGACGTGTGAGCCAGTACCTAGGTACGGTGCTGGTGCCTGCTAGGATCTCATGAGCACAGTGAATTACCTCGTTTGTTTTCATTAGACATACAGAAAGTTTCAGCACAGGACCCAGCGCAGCAGCGTTTGACTCAAACAGCACCCAGCTGGGAGCTGAAGCGGTGCATCGACAGCAGATGAATTAGCACCAGGCTCCCCGTTCTGACTCCAGAACACGGTGCCAAGCACAAAGAGGCTTGCTGCTGGTACCAAGGGATCCGGGTCTTCTCTGAAGCTTCCCCAGTGCAAGGGCCATTGGAGGGCAGCGGTGTGGTGCTTGAATACCTGTAAAAGTCTGCGAGGCAGCAGTGCTTCGGGAATGGCACGTGTGAGCTCCCCAGTAAGAGGCCCGCAGAGCCCAAGGGCTATCCCCTTAGTGATTGCAGTGGTGCGGTTTGGTGACAGTCGTTACTGTCTGCAGTTGAATCCGCTTTTCTCGCTGCTCTGACAGTACAGGGAGGTGGTGGGTGTCAGGCTCCTCTGCAGAAAGAGCTGTGACAAATGCTACACCGTTACGCGGGACGAGAGGAGGTCCTGCACACAGCTGCAAGCACTTCAGCCGTGGAAAACGGGGTGCACTGGCACTTGGGAGTCCCCGCACTGGAGAAATGAGAAACTCTTGTTCTTTTTTACCTGCCAGGTATTTGGTTTTCTCTCTGCCTTCCCGCAGGTCTCTCAGAGTTGTACCAACGTACTGTCTGGTAGTACTCGTGGCCAGGCCTCCGTTGCAATTAAACTCTCGTGGCTTTCTCTCTGATTGGGAATTTTCTTCCAGGGAAAGGTGGGAAATGTGGCCCACCTCCAGTTATTGAAAACGGAGACCTCCTTTCCTTCCCCATGCAAGAATATCCACAAGGTACAATTCTGGAATACAAATGCCCAAGTCTCTACGTCCTGGAAGGCTCCCAGTATATCACTTGTACGGATGGGCAGTGGACAAGCCCCCCAGTTTGCCTGGGTAGGTTGAAGCACGTGCTGTGTGGCCAAAGGCTGTGGGACTGCTCCCGTTGTCGTCTTCTCAGCTCCGGGGGGCATCGCCTGTGCAGCAGCACCTGTGCTGGCGCCAGCCTGGCAGAACAGCGACGAGTCCCTGTTTTGCCCAGAAGGAGTTTCTTCGTGAAGTTAGCTCGTGTAGTCTCCTCTGCTGCCCGCTGTCTCTCGCCACCACAGTGGGGTCGGGAGGACGCAGTTTGGCTGAAGCCCACAGTGCGAGGGGGATCTCGATCACTGTGCCGGGCCCCCAGCTGCTCCCGAGTTAGGGTCCCTGCTGTGGTCAGCAGGCTGTGAGGGGGGAGGATGGTCTGAGTGCTTGGCAGTGTTGGGGAAATACAGGGTGTATCTGTGACGTGGCTGTGAGGAAACTAATCGAGAGAAGTGCCGAGCTGAAGGGAAGGAGGCATCTCCAAAAAGACACGGGGAGGTTCATTGGTGCCTGCTGACTTCCCCACCCGTGCTTCGATCCTCTCTGTGTGACTGTCAGCGTGAAAAGACTTCTCCATAGCTCTGTGTGGCGGTGTGGGGTCTCAGCCACGGTCTTTCTGCCATTTAGCTTGGGTGTGAATGTCTCCCTTGTTGCAGGTAACAGAGGGTCAGAGCAAATAGCCGGGGGTATTTTTTGAAGCGAAGACCTTCTGTAGGCTCTGGAGGGGAAAAAAGCTACCCGTGGTGTGTCTGTATGAAGTGACAACACTCTCTTCTTGCCTTTTTCAAGTGGCCTGTACAGCATCTGAAGAAGACATGAGCAGAAACAATATTGAGCCGAAATGGATAATAGGAAGAAAGTTGTATGCCAGCTCGGGTGACTTCATTGAATTTCGGTGTAAGAGAGGCTACATGGAGCACCCAGCATCTCCCCCTTTCAGAGCACAGTGTATGGATGGGACGATACAATATCCACAGTGTAGTGCAGGAGGTAAGTCACCTCCACTTTGGCCACAGCTTAGCTGCTGTGTTGTTGCTTTTTTAGTGCTGAATCTGAGGGAAATGCCTGTAGGTTTCCTGGGGGAGTGCCTGGGGAGGAGCCAGGGTGTGGGAGCATCCCATCCGTAAGCTGCAGGCGGGGAGGGGCAGTGCCCCAGGATGCCGTTGAGCAGCGTACCTGAGCGGGAAAGTCTGCTGGGGAAACACCTCTCGGGGGCTCATGCCAGGGTTACTTGTGCTGTGACTGCCTGGCCACCTGTAGGCAGGAACGGAGCTTATCAGTGCCCTGAAAGTAAATTCCATGATTGTGAAACACGCTGTTTTCCTGACCATATTATGTCTGCACAGCAGGAGACAATCTGCAGACTTTCCCAAACCTGCCTGTTTAGGCAGGGCTTTCCCAGAGCCAGTTTGTGTCCTGGTTCTCTTTTGCAGCCATGGCTGTGCCTTCTTTGCGCCTCTGGCCCTCCAAACTTGTCTCTGATTCTGGCATGTGCAGACATGTGTGGAGGCAACAGCTGTTGCCTGTTGGACTGAATCCCTCTGAGGGGATCTCCACCACTGTGCAGGGTTCCTGCACTGGGTACTGTGCTACAGTCACCAGGATGTGAGCGGGGAAGTGTCGCGGGTGGAGTCCAGCACTTCTCTGTAAGGAGAAGCAATGATATACTTTATTGATATAAAGTGATGAGTTAACAAAGTTCAATGGTAAATGAATGGGTTTAATAAGATACGATGGCTAGGTATAGTTGATTATTTACTGCACAGAGGACAGGGTCAGCCAAAATTGTCAGGCAGACCCTCCTACTGAGTCTTGAGGTTCAGAAAGGACCTGCTTACTTTCTAAACTCTTCCTCAGAGAGGACTCCAGGTGCAGATGGATCCACTCCTAGTCCCAGATTTGGTCAATGGTTTATGTATAAAGGATTATATGTGTCCAATCAATCCTTTATATCACGTCACTAAGATTTCAAAGTTTAGCAAGCTACTGAGAATCTTCTGTGGCAAGAAATCTCTCTAACCTCCATGATTAATCTTGAGCAGCATCACTATTCAGGGAGTGGTCCCTGCACACTACTCACTGCTGTGCAGGAGAGCTCAGTGGACCAGGGGCTGTCTGCGAATTATAGCTTGAGATGATTGATTTATAGTCATATTTGCATACCAGCAAGACGTCTGGGTCACCATTCCAGACAGCTTTTGGCTACCATGTTGCCATCTGTTCCCCAAAGTCCAGAGTAAGCTGGATGCAGCCATCACAGCCCACACTGGTGGTTATGGCTTAAGCAGGTAGGGAAAGAAGCACAATGCTGAGGAGGATGGATCTAAGTGCTTGGCAGTGTTGGGGAAATACAGGGTGTATCTGTGACGTGGCTGTGAGGAAACTAATCGAGAGAAGTGCCGAGCTGAAGGGAAGGAGGCATCTCCAAAAAGACACGGGGAGGTTCATTGGTGCCTGCTGACTTCCCCGTGCTTCAATCCTCTCTGTGTGACTGTCAGCGTGAAAAGACTTCTCCATAGCTCTGTGTGGCGGCGTGGGGTCTCAGCCACGGTCTTTCTGCCATTTAGCTTGGGTGTGAATGTCTCCCTTGTTGCAGGTAACAGAGGGTCAGAGCAAATAGCCGGGGGTATTTTTTGAAGCGAAGACCTTCTGTAGGCTCCGGAGGGGAAAAAAGCTACCCGTGGTGTGTCTGTATGAAGTGACAACACTCTCTTCTTGCCTTTTTCAAGTGGCCTGTACAGCATCTGAAGAAGACATGAGCAGAAACAATATTGAGCCGAAATGGATAATAGGAAGAAAGTTGTATGCCAGCTCGGGTGACTTCATTGAATTTCGGTGTAAGAGAGGCTACATGGAGCACCCAGCATCTCCCCCTTTCAGAGCACAGTGTGTAGAGGGGACATTAGAATACCCACACTGCAAGCCGGGAAGTAAGTCACCTCCACTTTGGCCACAGCTTAGCTACTGTGTTGTTGCTTTTTTAGTGCTGAATCTGAGGGAAATGCCTGTAGGTTTCCTGGGGGAGTGCCTGGGGAGGAGCCAGGGTGTGGGAGCATCCCATCCGTAAGCTGCAGGCGGGGAGGGGCAGTGCCCCAGGATGCCATTGAGCAGCGTACCTGAGCGGGAAAGTCTGCTGGGGAAACACCTCTCGGGGGCTCTCAGCTGCTACCAACAGTTTTAGAGCATCAGATTTCCAGTGTGAGGTTTACAGGCAAATAATGGAAGTGCTTTTTGCAGAGAACTGTATGGTGCGTGAGAGGATTATGGAAAGGAACCATATCCAACTACAGTCATCAAGCCAGTCGAGCACTTCCTATCGCACTGGGGATTATATTTTATTTGAATGCAAATGGTGGTACCGTCAAGTTTCACGCCCTGAGAAATTTAGAGCACAGTGCCTGGATGGAGCAATTGTGTATCCTATGTGTGAACGTAAGTGCTCGGTGCCGAGGACACGGCAGGCTGTAGAAGGCAGCTTTGCTGAAATTGCCTGTCCACCGCTCTGAGGAACCGCTGCGATGTGTCAGGCTTGGCCTTCACACCTTTTCCCCTTTTTCTCTTTACACTGCAGGGATCGTTTGATAATTGGAAATGGCATGAAGGATCCCAGCTGTGGAAATGAAAGACCCCTCAACCGACCTGTGATCTGAGCTCAGTTTTTCCTGGCATTTCCCGTTTCACTGTGCTTTGTTTGCAGCTTAGCCAATGTTCTGTCATGCAATTTGTCACTGGTTTTTCTTTTTATTTTTGGATGATTGTGTTTACATTTTATCTGGTTTTGTAAATGTGTTTACATTTTATCCCTCTGAATGGTTGTGCTTGCATTTTATCCATTCTATATTGATCTCCCTGTTATTTCGATTAAGAATTGTGTGCTGAAATAGGCTGGCTTTGGTAGCATACTGAGACAAGAATTAAAGCCCGCAGGTAATTTGATCAACAGCAAGCAGAGTGTGTTTGGCCTTGTCTGCTCCTAGCTTCTTCTCCATGCACTTGCCTGGAGGCTGCCCTGGGGCCACGGCAGAGGTGAGCATCCTGGCGGCCTGATCAGGATGAGCAAGTGAGTGGAGTCTCCTTTAAACAACTCCAGGAAGTCTCTAGATCAGAGACCCGGTTCTTATGGGGAACTTGAGCCTTGTCTTGAGAGGAAGGTGTTGGGATGCAAGTAACAGGGATTTCTGGGCGGAGGTGGGGACGCCTTCTTGGTCCAGGTCCTGGATGGGCTGGTCTGCGCAGCGCACAGCTCCATCTGCTGTTCATCTACAAGGAAGAACTGTGTGAGGTTGTGGAAATCAATGGCAGCCTTGGGTGTGGTGACCGTGCACTAACCTGATTCAGAGGGGAGAGAGAAAGACAAGTAGCAGACTAGAAATCGTGCACCTTAGGAGGCAGATTTGGGCTTGCTTAGGAAACCAGCAGGTGGGATTTTTTGGGACAGAGTCGTCCAGAAAATCTTAAAAGTCCTGAAGGACAGTCTCTTCCAAGCACAAGAACAATCAATTTTGGTGGTCAGGAGGAAAAACACATTCACCAACACTTTGGCTCGACTAAGAAAGGACTTCATGTAGATCTCTGAAGCAGAAAATAAATCATTGCAATTAGGAGAGCGGGGCAAAAAAAGACTAAAAAGTGACCTGTCCATGAAATTGACTTGGCATTTATGGACAGTATTAGGAAAGCTGAAGTTCACCTAGTGTGACTGTTGCAAGGGACATCAAAGGTCAGAAGAAGATACTCTATTTCTGCACTACAATTGAAAGAATAGAATAGAAAAATGTGGCCTGCCACTCATTTAGCATTAGGAGCTGTCCTGGTTTGAGCTGAAATATAGTTAATGTTCCTTTTCAGGGACTAGATGAGTGCTGTGTTTTGGATTTAGCTTTGGGTTTGGTATGGGAAGAATGCTGATAGCACACTGATGTTTTCAGCTGCTACCGAGACTCCAAGGACTCTCCGACTCCCCATGTTCTGCCGGTGTGCAAGGGCACAGGGAGCAGGGAGGGAGCACGGACAGAGCACCAGACCCAAATTGGCCAATGAAATATTCCATATCATGGAACATCATGCTCACTATATAGAGGAGGGGTGGTTGGGAAGGAGCTCTCTCTCTTGCTTCCGGGATTGCGATTGCGGGATCTTGGTATCTCGGGGTCGGTAGCCGGGAACGGGCTGGGGATTGGTTAGCGGGTGGTGAGCAATTACTCTGTACATTGCCTGTTTATATATTTCTTTTTGTTTTCCCCCTACCATCGTCATTGTTCTCGTTTTATTGCCATTATTAAACCGTTCCTATCTCACCCTGAGAGTCTCCCTTCACCCCTCTAATTCCCTCCCCCATTCCCAGGTGGGGAGGGGGAAGGGAGGGTGACCAGCTGCGGGGGTTGGCTGCCGACCAGGCTCAAACCAGGACAGGAGCCCCACATGAAACTGACGTAGTCAATGCATGCTTTGTTTCGATGTTTATCAACAAGATGCTGTCTTCATTTCTTTAATCCACCACACCCTCTCTGCTCACAGAGAAATGTCCACTGTTATGCGTGCATCCAGAGGAAGTGGGGCAAGCACTAAAGGACCTCAAAGGCTTGGCCACACTCTTCGAGAGCTACTGGGCAATGCAATGCTGGGGATGTAATGTTCATAGGGAAAGCAACCTCAGGCCCTAGAGTAAGGATCAGCATTTGCCTTCTCTGAAATTTCTTTCAGCTAACTGTTGTTTCTCTCTGTTTCTAGTGAGGATGTATGTCAAATAAGCAGAGGTAAAAAAAAAAAAAATAATATTTAAGTTACCTCTTCTTCTGTGGCAATAGAATTAAGAATTAGATTGCCAAATCATAATCAAGGCCAAGCCTTAAGTAGTAGGTCTCTCCACCTGCAAGCATTTTATCCGACAATATTATTTTTCTTAATTTCACAGAAATATACATATTCATATCACAGAATGGTTTGGTTTCAAAGGGACCTTAAAGCTCATCTAGTTCCAACCCCCCTGCCATGGGCAGGGACACCTTCCACCAGCCCAGATTGCTCCCAGCCCCGTCCAACCTGGCCTGGAACCCTGCCAGGGAGGGGGCAGCCACAGCTGCTCTGGGTACCCTGGGCCAGCGACTCACCATGGTCACAGTGAAGAATTTCTTCCTTGTAGTTAATCTAAATCTCTTTCAGTTTAAAACGGTTTCCCCTCCTCCTATCCCTACACTCCCTGATAAAGAGTCCCTCCCTAGCTTTCATGTAGCCCGCTTTAAGTACTGGAAGGCCACTATAAGGTCCCCAGAGCCTTCTCTTCTCCAGACTGAACAATCCCATGTCACAACCAATGAAGGTGTCTGTGCACAAAGGACGCCAGGACCCCATGGGAAGGAGCAGCCCCCACTGTTGTAGTTTGGTGCTGGGATTGCAGCATGCTGTGGTGTCCCACGCTGGAACAGAGAGGGAACCACTGCAGCCCATGGGAGGGACTCAAGTTGGAGAAAAGTTGTGGAGGACAGATGCTTGTGAGAGGGAGACCATGCTGGAGCAGGGGGAAATTCCATAGGTTTCCCCCTCCTCAAGATGGGAGAAGCAGCAGCAGTGACTGCACCCCCCATTCCCTACCCCCTGCGCCACTGGGGGGAGGAGGTAGAGATATCGGGAGCAGAGCTGAGCTGGGGAAGAAAGGAGGGGTGGGGGGAAGGTGTTTTCAAGATGTGATAATGCTTCTCACTGTCCTACTCTGCCTGATAAGTGTTGTTGTTGTCTGTATTAAATTTATGGGTTTTTTTTCTTCCCCTAATGAGTCTCTTTTGCCTGTGACCATATTGGGTGATTAATTCCTTCTTGTCTTATCTCAAATCCCAAGCCTTTGTTTATTTTCTCCTTTTCAGTGGTGGAGGGAAGGGAGAGTGAGCGGCTGTGTGGTGCTTATCTACCCTCTGAGCTCAAACCACGACATTAGTGAAACCATGTTGGCTGTCACCAGTCACCTCCTTATTTTCCATGTGCCCTAGCACAGCTTCCAGGAGAATCCACTCCATGATCTTACTGGACACAGAGGTGAGACTGACTGGCCTGTAGGTCCCTTGGTCTTCCTTTTTTCCCCCTCTTTAAAAACGGGGGTTATGTTTTACCTTTTTCAGGCAGCAGGAACTTCACTGGACTGCCACAACTTCTCACATACGATGGCTAGTGGCTTACCCACTTCATTGCCCAGTGCCCTCAGGACCTATGGATGCATTTCATTAGGTCCCATGGGCTTGTGCACCTTCAGGTTCAAACTTGATGGTCTCAAACTTGATCTTCTCCTATAGTGGTCAGTTCTTCCATCTCCCAGTCCCTGCCTTTACCTTCTGCGTCTTGGGCAGTGTGGCTGGAGCACTTGCCTGTGAAGACTGAGGCAAAGAAGTCATTGAGTGCATCAGACTTCTCCATATCCTGGGTAATAAGGTCTCCTGTTTCATTCCAGAGAGGGCCCACATTTTCTCTAGTCTTCCTTTTATCACTGACATACCTGTAAAAACTTTTTTTGTTGCCCTTGACATGCCTGGCCAGATTTAATTCTACCAGGGCTTTGGCCTTCCTAACCTGATCCCTGGCTACCCAGACAGTTTCTGTGTATTCCTCCCAGGCTACTTGTCCTTGCTTCCACCCTGTGCAGGCTTCCTTTTTGTGTTTGAGCTTGTCCAGGACCTCTTTGTTCATCCATGCAGGCCTCCTGGCATTCTTACCCGACTTCTTCTTTGTTGGAATACGTCGCTCCTGAGCTTGGATCAGGTGATCCTTGAATATCAACCAGCTTTCTTGGGCCCCTCTTCTTTCCAGGGCTTTATCCCACGCTACTCTGCCAAGCAGATCCCTGGAGAGGCTGAGTCTGCTCTCCTGAAGTCCAGGGTAGTGAGGGTGCTGTGTGCCCTCCTCACTGCCTTCAGGGTCATGAACTCCACCATTTCATGGTCCGTGCAGTCAAGGCTGCCCTTAGCTTCACACTCCCCACCTGCCCCTCCTTGCTGGTGGGAATGAGGCCCAACATTGTACCTCTCCTCCTTGGCTCCTCTATCACTTGGAGAAGGAATTTATCATCCAAGCATTCCAGGAACCTCCTGGATTGCTTATTCCCTGCTGTGTTGTCTTTCCAACAGATATCAGGGTGCTTGAATTCCCCCATGAAGACCGGGGCTTGTGAACATGAGGCTGCTCCTATCTGTCTATAGAGGGTCTCATCTGCTTGGTCTTCCTGGCTGGGTGGCCTGTAGCAGACCCCCACTGTAACATCTCCTGTCCCTGCCTTCTCTCTAATCCTGCCCGATAAGCTCTTGACTGGGTTGTCATCCATCCCAGGCAGGGCTTCATGCACTCCAGCTAGTCACTGACGTAGAGGGTGACACCCCCACCTCATCTCCCCAGCCTGTCCTTCCTGAAGAGCCTGTACCCTTCCATTCCAGCACTCCAGCCACAGGAGCCATCCCTCCACATCTCCATGATGCCAACAAGATCATAGCCCTGCAGGTGTGTGCACATCTCTAGCTCCTCTTGTTTATTCCCTGTGCTATGTGCGTTTATATAGAAGCATTTAAATTGGGCCCCCAATGAAGCTGACTTACTGGCTGGAATTCCTTTGTGCTGCTCTTCAGGTGCTCTCCTGCTGACCTGTGACCCCTCTCCAGGCTCTGGGCATCTATTGCTGGCACTGGCATCAAGCTGGTAGCAGTGGAATGGATTGAGGTTCTCCTCCCCTGTCAACTTTAGTTTAGAACCCTCTTCACCAGCTTGGGAAGCCTATGACCAAAGATGCACCTCCTCTTCTCTGACAGATTGACCCCATCAGCCCCCAGTAGACCAGGTTTCACAAAGCGAGTCCCATGGTCTAAGTAGCTGAACCCCTGCCTGTGACTCCAGTCCTGTAACCAATTGTTGATTTGGCAGATTTGACTGGTCCTTTCAAATCCCTTCCCTTTGATTGGAAGGAGTGATGAT